GCACAGCATTACTCCTCTCCCCCACAATCTACAGGATCGGGTGGTTGGGTCCCACTCCGTCCCAGACCCGCCCTAGGATAACCAGCGCGGTAAACGATCGCCCAAGCGCGCCCAGACCAGAAATCCACCACTGACCGAAAGCGCAAGCGTGTTCAAGGGAGGGGGGATTGCTGCTGCAGCAGCTGCTGCTGCTGTTGCTGCCCCCGGTCCCGTGTTGGGCCCCTCCCTGCGTGTGACCCTCGAGTGCCGGTGCGTGTTCAGCGGGTCGGTCCCTCGTGCGGTCTCGCTCCGTTGGCCAGGTGAAAGAATTCTGGGTATATCCGCCGCTGTTGGGGGCCTTGCGCCTGGATCTGTTGTGCTTGCTCCGGCTGGATGTTGTGTCGGGGGGTTCCAGCCACCCTTTCCAGTCGCCTTCCGGCCGCTCGCAGGCAGCACCTGCCTACCTCCTTGGCAGACAGGGCCGCCAGGGCGATGATTACGTCCCCAGGGGGCCTGTTCACAGCCGGTGGGGGCTCCTGGACCCAGCTGGCCACTTCCGGCTGCTTCCGGGTGGTGCCGACGGTCCCTCTGCCTCCTGGGAGGGCTGTAGGTGACGGTCGATTTGTTCCCGAACGGCTTGTGCGACTGGGCACTCCCAGAAATGGTGCATGCGTGGGGAGCATTGTTGCTGGTTTGTGGCATTGCCGGATCCTCCGCACCCGCACCGCACCGCTCGGGCCTCATGCGAGCCAGGTGCGTGTTGCCGGGCAGGGGTATGCCGTCCACGGCGTTTCTTTGTTCTTCCCATTCTCCCACCGTACCCCGGCGGACCCCAGGCGGGCGGTGTTGCCCTGAAGCGGCTCTAGTTTCCGTCGGGGACGGTGGCGCCGGGTCCAGCGCCTCTTGTACGAAGGCTGCCATCAGGCGTCCCCGTTTCTCCGGCCATCAGACGGCCCCACATCGCGCAGCTGTGCACCTGTGTAGCTAGGCGGACCGTCGGGCATGTCAGCGGGAGGGTTGTCGTGGACCCCCTCCCCCCCCCGGGTATCTGCCATCCGACCCGGTCCCATCCATCCTTGCTTCCCGACGACGACGCATATAGGTACGAACCTAGGCAACAGCTGCAGTGCTTTTAGGCTTCACGTTAATGACTGTGGCTTCTGCGGGAGGAGGGGCCATGCGCCGTGAGTCTAATAATAACTGCGACTTCCGCCGCGTGTTTCGTGCATGGAATGCGCCGACTGACGCTATTACACCAAGCAATGCCGCCCCCAGCCCCGCTGCTAGGCCAACAAAGCGGGGCCATGTGTGCTTGCCGTTCGCTGATAGCTCAATGGTACGTGGCAATGGGGGCTTGTAGCCAGCAGCAGTGCCGCCGCCGCCACCGTCGGATGCCGAGAGAGTTGCGGAGTCACCTGAAAGAAAGGAAAAGGCAGCAGAGAGGAGGTAGAGGAGGTCATAGCTGTTAGGTTGGGGCCACGCACTACAGAGGAAACATGGACCGGAATTCACTCCTGATGGTAATGTGTGCGTATATATGGAATAATAATATAAATATAAGTATAAAATATAATAAATAAATATAATATAATATAATATAATATATATATTATATATATAATATATATAATATAATATATTATATATTATATAATAATATATATTATATAATATATAATATATTATATATATAATATATATAATATAATATACATAATATACATATATATACAATATAATATAATACAATATAATATAATATAATATTATATTATATTGTATAATATTATATTATATTGTATTATATTATATTATATTAAATTTATTTATTATATTTTATATTTATATTATTATTCCATATATTATATTATATTATATCATATTATATTATATTATAAATATATAACATTAATAATAATAATAATTAACAACTAATAACAACTAAAAATAATAATCGTACAGATGCGATGCAGCATGGGGCACATTCGTGAGTGCACCAGCAGCGTTCGGGGTTTTATATTACGACTTCGGAAAAGTACCGATTGTCAAATGCGGACCCCGTGATATGCCCTCCAGAATACAACACGGGCCCGTCTCTGCTTGCGGGGTATGTGCGTGCTGCGGCTCCGAAGCAGCTGCAAACCCTTCACACGGGGACCTGCTGCCGTATTAGAAGACGCCGACAAGTAACCCAACAGAGCGCGCGTTTAACCGCCTTTCCGTTGTTGACACATCGTGCATGTACCGGTCACCTGGGATGATTGAGTTTGGTGGGCTGCAGCCAGCTGGGTTTCTTCTCTGCTGACGTTTTGTTCCTGTGTGAGTGTGTTACATGGTTGGGGTTGCGTGGCCCCATACCTATAAAACTACCCATAAGAGCCAAAGGCCCAAGGGCAGGTGCATGAACCGAAGAAGCTCAAATACTTCCGTGCCTAATACAACATTCGTGGATAGGCTCACTGGGAGACCGGAAGATTGACATTTCGGGCATATCTAAAAGTACGGCCTAGGGTTGAGATTGAAGGCTGGTCATGTAGAACGTACCAAATTACCTGCGATTGTGCCGTACACTTGCAGCTCCGCCACTGCCAGATGCACAGCAGATGACATCATCGTGTTGACATTTTTGTTCTGTACTGTAAGATAGCGGCCAGTCCTAGGTGGGTCGGCAAGGAAAGGTATAATGCCGCCTGTCGTGCTGGCCGCGCCGGCTGGCATGTTATCTAGTAGGTAGTTCTCTTCCATGTTAGATGAATCCCACGGGTACACGGGGGCGCCTCCAAACCTAATCTCAGCGTTTGCCAGTTCACTGCCGCAGCAGTCCCTTCTAATGTAGAGGATTATACTCGAAATGGTTACCAATACTCCGAAATCGATACATAGCCACTGCCCTGTCGCGTTGGCGCTGATGAACGTGCTGCTGTTACCACCAATGGGTGGGACAATTCCGTCGACGGCATTGGCGGCTGTGTAATCAATCGACAGCTCGGATGATGCGTATGCATTCCTTCCAATGGCAATGTTGTGTATTGATGTCCCGGGAGGCCTTGGTGGCGACGGGAAACTGGGCAGCGACCAATGCGACGTGGAGGGCGGTGGGCGGGGCGGCTCCATCGCGCCTGCTCATCATGCATAAACAAAACAAGCAAGTCAGCAGCGTCAGCGGGTTTTTTAACAACGCCGGTGGTTGATGATCATTAAGAAGGACTCTGTTTCAGATGTTTTTCCTCTGTTGTGTAGTGTACAAGTGTGGCCTTAATAAGAAAATTCCTACATCCCTCGTGTAGTAGGGCCCTTTCTTGTTATTTGTATTAACAAGTTGTTCACGTTATTACATGGGGAGAAGGACGGATACACTGCCCGCAGCCAGTGGCAGGCGGCTGGGGGATGTTCCACATCCGACGGGCAAGTTGCCCGTCAGCAGGACATGCATACAGACATACATGTAGCATTGCATATACATGACTTAGGGATTACACTGTGGGCCGCGAGAGCCGGGGGCCGAAGCCGAGACACAGCGCAAAAGAAGGGTCGGGCGCACACAGCACAAGTCGGTTACGTTAGTCTTGTGTGCTCCCGACCCCGACTCAGACTGCCAACACCCAGACTGCCAACACATATGTATGTATGTATGTATGTATGTATATGTAGCATGTATATATACGCACCTTGTGCACCACCGTCGACGGAGACCGCTGCAACAACTTGCGCCACTCGGGACGCCGCCATTAAACACAGCAGCATGTACAGCCGCAATGAGTCCCGGTTTTGCTGCACTACTAGCAGTGGTGGGTGCCGCATCATCGTAAACATCGCCCGCTGCTGTATGTTGCTTGCCTGAGTTGCCAGGTCTCCGGAGTGATGTACCCTAAACGAGGCGAGCAACCCACCATACATGCACTCAATTACCCAAGCAAATAAAAGAGCTGCTTTAAAAATGGCTTTTTGCGGGGGGCGTATTTATCTATCTCAACCAGCCAGCATCTGGGGCTGCAATAATGCGTGCTGTATGAATTGTGTATTTGTTGCACTTAAGACGATGATAATTCCCCAGCAGCGGATGCATGAATGCCTTAATGCCTGCACGTGAAACCGCACGTTGCCAAAGCATCTGCTCTTGCAAGCGGCAGTGTCGCCTCTAAGGGCCTCGCTCGCGAGCAGCTGCACCTGTCGCTGGTGCGTATTATACAGCGCAGGTGAATGTATGCTAGACCGTCCGTAAGCGTCTTCTCGGCTGCTGCAAGCAAGCAAACAGATAGAACCTACCAGGCATTCAACCATGCAATGTATTAAGAAGCCTTATGTTTATTCACATGTATCCCAGACTTGTGTTAAAGTTCTGTTTAGACGCTTGCGACGCAGAAGCGAGTCTCCGTTTATTTCCTACTGCATATGATGGACACAACCAGAGCGGGTGCTGCCCTCCAGCGAGCGAGAGAGCGAGGCTACACCGTTGTCACGTACGTCAGTAACGTCATGGACAGTCAGCAGCCAGCAGCCTGCGTGCTGCTGGTGATCTTCGACCTTACATGTAGAAGATCTCATCCTACATAAAACGTTATAATAAGCTATGAAGCTTGCTTAGATTTTTCTATTTGGGAAAATCGACTACGTGCGCCGGTTCACCTTCCTGGCCCTTTCATGTACACATGGATAGATATCGCTTGCATGTGTTGCATCTTGATAACTCTGAAACGGAAATGATAGTTTCTTTAAAAAATAAACGATTTGAGATTGCTAGTTATGCTTCCGGGCTGGGTATTTCCACTTCGATAAAAGAAGTTATGGATCAAGGTAATTCCTAACGGCCTATTTATTAGGAGTTGTTTCCACTTGGATTAAAGCTGCGGATTAAGGTATTTTTAATCTGTCTCCACTCCGCCGCTAATCCACGAGAGTGTTTGATGGGTCTTCGTCAGCTGATGGCGACGTCCCTGGCCAGGTGCAGCGCCAGATCACAGAGCGGATACCGACCACAGTAAGCTCATCCTTTGCCTAGACTAAAACCCAAACCCTTTTAACCGGCGACTGGCATGCATGGAAACCGCCCCGAACGGGTTAGTTTTCCGTGAATTCGATCAGTACCCACTTCATGTTTCCTGGACTAGAATAGTATTCCACTTTAGAAATAAATTGGATGTTTCAGGGGGTTTCATTTACCACCATCGCGTGTTTAAGGAGGAGTTAAAAGTCTTGCATTGCCGGGGGATGGACTGCAGGACGCCTGGGAGCGCGAAGGGGCTCCGGGTCCTTAGGGCCCTGGGTTATGACCCGGATAGTGTGACCGGCACTGCAGACTGCAAGGCAAGGTGACTGCCCTCTCGTCTCATAAGCTGGATGTCTCGACGCTGCTTGGTGACCTGAAGAATCGTTCTTGATGCGCATTGGATGAATAATTGGCTTCTTCGCGTGCATGCCTGGGATTTTTTTTCGGACACCGGGCGTCAACCGCGGCGTTAAAATGTGTTGCTACGAGCAACGAATGGGATGGACGGATGGATGTGGTACTCTACACCTCGTGAGGACGTACGACATCCTTTCTAGGCATCATAGGAGCTTTAACAAAAAAATTCTTTCGTTTGTGTTGTTGGGCGATTGAGGCCAACCGCCCCAATGGTAGGGTAGGGCCAGATCGGGTATGTCCCCTGTGCCACGTAGGGGCGTCCCGCGGGCAGTGCAATGCGCCCCACCAAACCGACGTGCGGGGTGAAGGAGCACATCATGGAGGGGGGAAGGGAAATGGAGAGGGCCAAGAAGAAGGTAGTCAGTCGGATGACTACGAAAACTGGACAACAGCGCGCATGTCGCACACCTAGCGGCCAAGAATCACTTTAAGCATCACAACACGCAGGATGCGGGCCCAAACCTAGGAGAGCTGCCCCGAGGTGAGCAGTTACATGACTGCCGCTGAGTGCCCCGCGGTACCCAGGGCTCAAACCCACCGGGGAATGGCCCCCCTAGGGGGGACGGATCAAGAACATAGACCACCCTATCCATATGCCCATCACGTCATTCACCGCCACCAGTTCCACGACCACCTCCGCCGCACTGCTGGCTTCACCTCCAACTCACCCGGGGGCCTGTGTGTGTGGGGGGCCCATCCTTCGGCACCACCGCCGGGTCCTGGCGATCCGCACGTTCGCTCTTGACATGTGCTTTAGCTACGTGACAGGTTTTGCCATGCTGGTTTGGCTTTGCTGCTTTCCCCATTGCTGCTGCTGCTGCTGCCTTTCTGCCGGCAGCCAAACACGATAGCACAAGAATGTCGGACGTGGTACGGATGAATACACGAAGCTCTTCGCCACTGCACAATTGAGGGTAACCCAGCTCACGGTGTAACACACACACACACATATGGCCTACGGGGACTGGAACTTGGAACCTGTCGTACATCGTATAACGCTTATTGTAGCATGGGTGTAGGGTACTTGCTGTAAGAAGGGATCAGCTCCCCCGGCATCTCCCTGAGTACTCTTTGCCTGCTGGTGTTACATTGGTGCGCGAATTGCTAGGAGGTGGGAACTCCCCGGATCGGATGCGATCCGGTTGCGAACATAGCGCACACCAGGCATGATGCAGCTTACTCTTACCCCAAGGTGGATGCCCGGGCGGGCGAGAAGTCTACCAGATGAGTAATTACAAAGTCCTCCATCTCTTACACTTGCCCCCGAAAAAAGCCGGAAATGATGAAGCTGGACTGCGGAGCGGACCGCCGCTGAAATTCGGCGCTCTTGTCAGGCAATCCGGTAGAGGAAAGGGTAGAGGTCAAAGGACTTTGAGGAAAGAAATTTCCGAATTTGTAGCTTAGATGCGGCAGGAGCAAAGCGAGTATAGCCTCTAAGCTAGGTTATGTACGGCAGCCGTATGGCTTGCTGAGAATTCGAATTTACTATTTCAGCTGACAGCTCCATAGTTCCGGCATTCTGCCTACACTATTGGAGCTTATTATTATTGTTGCTCTCACTTTTATCCAAGACCTTACCGACTACCCTCAAGCCTCATCGACGCTCTACCACAACGAATCGACATCGCCGCGGACCTGTCACTCTCCGAGGAACAACCAGGAGCTCCGTCACAAAAATCAAAAAATGACGGGTAAGAGGACAAAGGCAACGGGAGATAACCTGGTCAACGCAGGAGCGGCCGAAGCAGCCGGCGAAGGGGGATCGGGCCAGATGCTGCCAGCCAACCAAAACGACATAGAAGCCGCCAGGGATACTTTGAGCGGGAACATAGACCAGCCGACTCTTCACCAGCTGCTGCTGGGCGTCCTGTCAGCAGCGCAGGCCAACGCGCCAAAAGCGCCAGCCAGGGATCCCCGGACAGCACCGCCTCGGGATCGCTCTCCTGACGTTGTCATCACAAAAGACGTGACCATCATGCCATCCGCAAGAGAACAGCTAGCAGCAATAAGGACGGAAGTTCAAGCAAATGACGCACCGAAGCTGACAGCACCACACGAGCAGCGGGAGCAGCTCGACGAAGGAACGCTAATGCTGCTAGAGACCGCCATCACCGCGCTGGATGCGAACGAACCCCAGCTGGCCGTCGCGGGAGATGCCTCAAGATCGCTCACCGCCGC